TTGGGACATCGGCAGTGAAAACCCATTTGCTATTAATTACACTCTAAAACAATACCCCTTTTCTGATTTGCAAGTAGGAATTTCAAACTTAATACAGATGAGACTAGTGATTTTTACAATCAATCAATAAATACGGAGAGAGAAAATAGTATTTTGCAGTTTTGTGATTGCAGTTTGTCAAAGAAGGGATGCATTGCCGAGGATTTTAAATGCTTAGATCGAGACAGTATGATATCATGATTATCATATATTTGTCCATAGGTTAATAGTTATTTAATTTCAGTTTGAAACCTCTATAAATTTTTGACTAACTCAAGCTTGTCACTAAAGATTTGAAGATTCAAGAGTACAGGTTGCAGAGGATGTCTCGCTAAAAAAACTAGGCAAAGATTCCAAAGATATTAACGACAATTCAGATATACCACATATACCACTAAAAGAACATAAATATTCATTTCCATTTAAAGATGTTTCGAAAACGGAAAAGATTGGTAAGATTTAAGTCAAATACATAAGCTACAATAGGCCAAGTTTGAGAAACAGATAATGGATTGTCTTCAGTTTTAGCCAAGCTGAAACAATAAAACTAAGGTTTCTAAGTCCTTAGAGAATAATATCGGGAAATATGATTCGAGACCAAAATCACAAATATAAATACTTATATAAAAGTAATTAAAAAGTAAGTATCGTTTGATAAATAAATCGTTGAAATTATATGTATATTCTAACTAATCTTTTTATAGGTCATTTAACAGCACTTGTATTGAAGTGCCGAAAACATATAAAACCGAAATTCTTTTCACTGCTCATAGTAATGTTGTATTAAAAAACAAGCTTAGCAGATCAGTGATCAGTGCTTAATACGTAAAGATTAATTATGATGACAGGCACAAACATGAATATCTACGATTTCAGGTGAGTGAGAAAAAACTGTAAATGAGTCTCTTTATAAATATGATAAATATTTGCAAAATATACAGCACTCGTAAGAACATAGTATTATCTGTTTTACGAGCAACTCGTAGTAAAGTTCGAGCAAAAAGTGAAGTTAAGTGCAAAGGAGAGCGTTAAGGCAAAATTAAGTATATTTTGTGTTCTTAACATAAAAAATTAAAAATTTTTTATTTGTTTGCTTTTTTGTTTAAATTTTCACATTTTATATATAATTTCCAATTTGATTTCTAATTTAAAGCAACAAAAGAAAACAGCTGAATATGACATTTTATTAGAAGTAATGAATTTAAGTAGAACTGTATCATTATGGTATTTTGATAGAGATTTTACGTCCCGCCTCCAGGCGTCTCTTTAGGCTGAGGGGATGCACTTCTGTAAATATTAGTTAGTCGAAGTTATTACGAGTTAGCTCTGAAACAGATCTAATTTTAACCTTTATCAGCGTATAATACAATTATACATACACATAGCCAATAAAGACTGCGTACACCTTGCGAATTGATATTTACATGTAGGGACACTTTTATCCCGTTATCTCAAGAATGAACAAACGAATACAATTTTTGTATTTTGCTATTTAAACTTTAGATTTTAAAGAATGTAAAAATTTTAATTTAAAATATTTATGTTGTGTTTCTTTATTACACATCAAAATTCGTAAGGTGTACGCAGACTTTATTGGCTATGTGTATATACCAATGCATATCCAGTACATTTTAATTCTCAACAACAGCTATTATTTCTTCGTTGGAGAGAGTGAAAGAAAGTGAGAGATAGGCAGAGAGCGAAATAGAGGCAGAGAGAGAGAGAGAGAAAGGCAGAGAATGAGAGAATGTCAGAGAGTGAGATGTAAAGAGTGAGAGACAAAAGGATAGAAAGAGGGGAAGGGAGAGGGAAGCTATATGTGGCAAATAGACACAATGTTTTTTTAGCAACATGAGAATTATCTATATCGATACCTATTGTTTGACAGCTGAGAATGTCAAGCTTCTCTTTTTTGTTTAGTAAACTTTCATTATTTATCATGAAACGTTAAAAAAAATGAATCTGTTCGCGAAGTTCATAGAGTGTATAGTGTTTAGTGATGAAGCTCATTTCTGATTAAATAACTATGTCAATAAGCAAAATTGACATTTATGGAGGAAAGGTAATCCTCAAGTCGCTAACGAGTCATTACATTCATAAAAATTGACTGTTTATTGCGGTTTACACGCTGGGGGCATCATCCGTCCTTATAACGTTCAAAATGATAAAGAAGCTGCGGTTACGGCGAACGCTAGCGAGCCATACTGACTGCATTTTTGTATCCAAATATAAGTCAGTTAAACTTTGACGACATTTGGTTTCAGTTTCCACAAGACTGCTCGACTTGCCATACAGCGCGTTTAACAATCAATTTATTTCGAAATCAATTTGGTGACAACTTTATTTTAAGGAGTGGTCTAGTTAATTGGCCGTGCATTGCTTCGTTCGTGCGAATTAATGTCTCTCAATTACTTTTTATAGGGCTATTCTGTCATTGGTTTATGTCGACAAACCAGCCACTTTTGAAGCATTGGAAGCCAATGTTTGTGTCGCCATTGACGCCATATGGCCATTTCTATTCCAAAAATTAGTCAACAATCGGATTGATCGAATGGACCATGTAAGTCGTAGCCACGGAGGATATATGTAATGGAAATCATATTAAAAAAATTTGTCAAAATGATCAATGGGATCTGAACATTGGTTCAGTACAGCAGAACAATCATTACTTAATATCTGTTAAGTACAATTTAGCAATAGAAATAAATTAACAAATAATTAAGATTGTACTATTCATAGCCAATAAAGGATGTTTAAAAAAAAACAAAAAAAAAATTAACTACCAGATTATAATAAAAAAAATTTCATTCCCACGATATTTCTGTCTTGTATTATCATTTTAAGTTCTCATGTAGCTAAAAAAACACCCAATAGCCGAGAACTCGGTTTCAATTATAATACTCATTTAATTTCATTTTAACATTATTTGAATCAATGCATTTTATTGAATACAAGGAGTAATTCCAACGAACGAATAATGTCAGTTTTTGGGTTTCAAAAATCTGTATGGATAAAACCACTATTGTTTAAAATGCGACTTTATTAACAGCTTCTGAAGAGAAAATGTTAAGAACTAGTCTGAATCCGGCTCGTAAACGTCAAATTGGTGTCCTATCCAGAAAATAAGCTAAAAAGATGTTAACATCAATTTTTTTTGTTTGAAATTCAGTCATATTTTTTTGACTAAATGTTTTCAGCCACTATTACTGCAGCCTTTTGTATTATTATTTATGACATATACTGCTAATTGTTGTAATAATCAGTCTTTAACTTATATTTAGCTTCCTTTACTGTAGGTTTTATAACTCCTCAAACATATTTTTCGTGCCTTATAATTTTCAGCAGACGAAAGAAAAACTACTTTAAAGAGGGAAATATTATTACGACTATTCCAATACTATTGAGATTAAAGTTCGTTGGAATAAGTTTCCTGAAACTCAAATAATACGATTATTTTAATATCGAAAAATTCGTTCTTTCATTTACCTTCCATGAATTTATGAATAAACTAGCGGCACCGCACTTTCTTAAATTAAAAATATATGTGAATATTCGTATATTATACATATATTGGTTTTATTATTATAATAGAGTCATTGTTAAATCAATCTGTGTTTTCCAGTAATCGTTTATTATAACAGATCTCATTTAAATAACAAATTTTACATTTCTTGATAAGATTTTGCTTTATATCAGTTTTCGCAATTAATTAAAGGATTTATTTTTTTAAGTCATATATAAAAGTCACATGAAAGTCATATAAAAGTCAAAGAGATTTTTCACTGAAAACAATTAATATATTATAAATAGTAAAATATAATTCTCATTAAGTATACTTATTTAAAGATTTATAAATATAAAAAAAACAAGTTGCTCAAGTATAGGCGTGTGGCCAGCAGACTTGTCTGCATTTAATTAATGAATAGACTTCCAGAGTATTTTTTTTACTAACAATATGATATCTTCTCCGCTATTGAAAAAATATATTAATGTTTATTATTGCACAGTAAAGTACCATTTAAAATTCAATAAAGTTAAGATACCAAGATTAAGATAGTTTAATTGTATCATATACAGTACTTAAGTAATACATTTGCTTAACTTCAGTTTTCTTGGTTTTGGGTGGACATTCAAACGTACATTTAAATTGTAAAATTTGCTTTTAAGATAACAATTTTGTAAAAAGTTTATACAATGTCCATTTAAAAATTCCTTATTTTTATTTACCATAATCTATTAGATCCTCAAACGTAATTGTCGTAATGTCGTTGACTATGGACTATGTAACTTTGTAGTCGCGGCGGACATATGCCGGAATTCGTATTCAAAAAAATAAATATTATGAAATTATCTAACAGATTCTAATAAAAACAATTCATTTCAAAAATATTTCTGTCTTGTATTATCATTTTAAGTTCTTATGAGGTTAAAAAAACATCATATATTTCATTGGTGGCTTTTTAAGTTGTGTGAGCAGGTGCATTGTTTAATAGAAAATGATTTTATATCTTTGTAAATCGTTATTCATTAATTTTTGCATGGAAGTGGTCTAAAAGATGTCATAAGAACAAATGAACAGTACTGCTTACAGCTTCGTCACTGAGACCAAATATGAATCGAAATTTTTATTTATCACTTATTCTCAATCATTTAACTGACATAACTTACTTAACTTAACTGTCATATTTAAAAGCAACTATATAAAAAATAAAACAAGAATTATTTTCGGTTTTTCATCAAGATTATAAACTTTGATTTATTAAATTTTCATGTCGATTTCTAGTTCATTCATACATAAGATACTAATATACGTAAGTTGTAAATAAATAATATATTTCTTTTACTTTGTTGTTCTAAGTAGTTTTTCATATGGATAAGCTTTAAGTTTTTCCAAAAGATTATTTAATAAAATTTTAAACTCAAACTATATAACGGCATCCTCAAAAGTTATATTTATGATATATAAGAAAATAATGTGCAGACATAAACATCTTAAGATATATATGTAAACCAATTATTTAATTATATTTATTCAAGTATAAAATTGTAAAAAAATATTTAAGATTTACCCTAAAGCTTCGATATGTCACTTAAAGTTTTCTCCTCGTCTTCTGATTGATTGATATATAAAATTTTTAAATATTTAAAAAAAATTTCTATAAATTTGTAGCTTTAAAGTAATATTACTTAAAAATACACATTAATTTTTTAATATATTTATATATTCCTTTAAATTATTTAATAATAGTTCGTTTGAGTAAGCATGCAAAATAAATTAAACAATTTTTAAATAAATAAAATATTCAAGTTTTACATCAAGATTTCGTTAAAATAGCGTTTATTCGTTAAGTTCTGTAATTCATTCAATTGTTAAGAAAAGTAACGTTTGACTACAAACTAATATTTTTGTTTAATAAACAACTTTTTTTAAATAACCATAAATATGTTTTAAATAAATTTAAACAGGGATGTCATACACATTATTGAATAAAACATTTACCATTTAAATTTGATATAAAGTGTGATATATAAAATTTTTAAATCTTTTAAAGAATTTCGCACAAAAATGCAGTCAACGAATTTGCTTGGTCGGTCTCAAAAATATGATGGTAAAATGTCGTGTTATAAGAAGACCACCAAGTAAATTGGTTAAGGCATTTTTGGGACGCATCCTTGACTTAAAATTTCAATTCACATTGCTCAATAAGTACATTGGATAATTTATAAGTTAACTGATTTCATATATCTATATATATAACATAAACGAGGAATACAAAATATGTTTTGATTTTAGGTATTTTTTTTTTTACATTTTTTATGCTAAATTCGGTTAGTACAAATGTTAGTAATTCCATTTAGAAAAACTTTCATTTTGCTTAGCTAAAATGTTAGTACTTGATTTAATCGTTATAAAAATTCTTATATGAATATTTTCAAAAAGTAATAAGTCAAAATTTCGTTTTATATTTTTTTCACATTCAATTTAAATTAAATTTATGTTGGAAGCTGTTCCATAACGCAAACTTGAGTTCACAATTCATTGTTTCATTTTCAATATTCCATTATTAATGTTCCGTGTTCAATGTTCCAAATTCGTGACTTCACATCCATTTTCCATTTAAGCGAACATATGTTGTGTACCTGGTGGCACTTTGTAGCCAGGATAGTAGCAGTTCAATGCATTCTTTTGAAAGAACGATGTGTAATCCTGTAGATTAAAAAAAAAAAATGATAGCATTAACATTTATTTAATTATTATTCTGGAAAGCGGCAAAGCGTCCTATAATCCTATAACAACACTGAATATCTGTCTGATATTCGTCTGATATGAAGATTTGTTATGTGCATTTACTTGCATCACATCTCAACGTTTATGAGCGTTGAGCAGTTCATAAACTCTCAAAATGATCATATTTACTTAACTGAATGTACTGTCGATAATCTGGAACTACGAATGTTTACTCGAACTAATTTTCCATCTCAAGAAATGATGGATGTTCTCTAATTATTTTCATCGAACCTGGTATCAAAGTCAATGCGATTAATTATTAGGAAAATGTTTTCTTCGTAGACCATAGACGTTCCAACAAGACTCGGCATGGACGCATAAAGTTTATATGAACCAAGAATAGTTAAAAAATCATGTTCTACACTTCATTTTGTCCACACAATGGTTCGCGAATTTGACCATTCCATCTGGGCCATTTTGGAGAGCAAGATGAGGATTAAAAAATATGTCAGTATGGATGGGCTGAAGAAAGCAATTGTTTAGGAATGGACCAAGATATCAGAGATTACATTCGTGAAGTAGACAACTAATTTTTTAACCGTTTGAAGGCCATAGTCAAGGCTAAAGGTGACTTGATCTCAATAGTTACAGACAGAAAAACAGTCCTTATTGAATATTAACTTTAAAACTATAATTTGCTTAGTATTATTAAAGTCAATTTAACCAGTGATAACTAATTTTGAATTAAACAGATGTCTAAACACATACAAAAGTTTAGGACAAAAAATTTTCAATAAAGGTGCCTGAAATTGTCTAATCTTTAAACAGCCTTTGAGAGAGATCTTTTTAATGTGAGTTTAGTAAAAGTGAAACTTTTTTGCCCTTAGGTGTTTTATACTCAAAAAAAAAGTTAAAGAAATTCTGAGAGAAATCTTCGTTTTTGTAAGAGAAGAAACTTTTTTGACTATAATAATTTTTTATGAATTTTTGTAGAAATTAATACTTACGCGATTAATTCTCCTTGGTCTGCAAACTGGGCCAAGTGCAAGTGCACGACGTTCTTCATTTTCACGTGCTGCGGCCTCTTTGTATTCTGGTGGTGGCCATTTCAAATCTCCACGCATGTTGCTGCCTCCTACAAAATTTTGAAACTCGTTTAGTAGTATTGTGTCTTAGTTAAATAAATTAGTTATACAATATAAGTATAATACTAAAGCACTATGAAATAGCATAGATTAATCGAAAATATAGTTCATTATAGATTACCTCCAAAGCTTACGGCTGCTGGCTGTGAAGTATAAACAGGAGCAGGCACTTGTGAAACCGGTGCCTCTTTACGCAATGTTATTATGCCGGGACTGGCGCCACGATAATCTTGCGGTAATTGTTGTTGTTGTTGATAGTCTGTTTGATCCTGTGAAATTGGTTGTTGGGGCTGTGAATAAGAATTATATTGATTTGGTTGTTGATATTGTTGTGGTTGAGTTTGATAGTTTGATGGAGGCTGATATTGTTGTTGAGGTTGGTATTGAGGTTGTTGCTGTACCCAACTTGGTTGTTGTTGTTGCTGTTGTGGCAACTGCTGCTGGGGTGCTTGATATTGATTAGGTGCTTGATATTGTTGATTAGATGGTGGTTGATATTGTGGAGTTTGATACAGTGGTTGGGATTGTGGTGGTTCTTGGTAGTTATTATAGGTAGGTGCACCGTATTGTTGTTGCTGTGTGTGAGGTTTATACGACATGCATACAAAAGTTCACAGTAATGTATCAGGAACAATTCACAGTACAAATATAGACGTTTTACAAAAACAATAACATAGACAAAGAAAGTTGAAGGAAAATAGAAGAAAATAGACTTTAGATATAAATAATTGTGTATATAAATGTTTTTAAATCAAACATTTAAATTGTTTAGTGTTATTATTTTAATTATGTTGTTAGTGTTAATTTTTTATATGGCATTAGACATCGTTTGAGCGCCTTTGAGCTGCAAAATTAATAAGAAATATATGATAAGCAAATTAAAATTTGTTAAAAAGCAGAAGCATTAATATAGTAAATATATACATAGATTGATTAGATGATATAAATAAAAATGACAGAACTGTACACAGGTTAGTTGCTATATTACAAAAAAAAAAAAATGATACATATTCACTATTACAAATATCCGTTTTGAACAAAATAAATATAATTTGATCAAGAATGCCGGCAGTAGAGTGACATTGTCTAGCTTATTTGGTTCACAAAAAGCTCAAAACATCGTGAACGAAGGTTTATAACTAATACATTTACAGTGGTTGCTAACAAATTTAAACCTATTAAAAGCTTTCCGATAGATTCATTCAAAATGCTTAAAAACTAAAAGCTTTGCTTTGCTGTGCATTCCAAAAGCTGACACAAGCTTTGCCAGTACCTGTGCTGGTTGTTGTTGCGCCGGTGGTTGATAAGTGGGGAAGTTTGGTTCAGAACCTACGGGACATTGAAATTGATGTTGTACTTTTGGCGATGGTGGTTGTATATGCTTCCAACCAGAAGGAGAACTAGGGTCCTGTACGTTATGATAGGGTATGTTATTTTGTTGTTGGTGTGGTTGTTGCTCTTGTGGTTGTAGTGTCGGTGGTGCTACAGGTTCCCGTGATGGTTGACGATTGAATTGTGCTTGACTATATTGAATTGGTTGTTGTGCAGCAGGTTGTTGATATTGTTGTTGGGGTGGTGGTTGATATTGTTGTTGGGGTTGTTGGTATTGTTGTTGGGGTGGTTGATATTGTTGTTGGGGTGGTTGATATTGTTGTTGGGGTGGTTGATATTGTTGTTGGGGTGGTGGTTGATATTGTTGTTGGGGTGGTTGATATTGTTGTTGCTGCTGTTGCTGATTGTATTGTGGCTGCTGGTTTTGTTGTGGATTTTGTTGATATTTAGTAGGATATGGGGAACTTTGACGTGCAGCTGGTTGAACGTTATTATAAATGGGACCCTGTAAAATGATTGGGGACGTAATGCATAAAAGGGTTTGTTATTTTTTCGACGGTTTCGTATTTTGCTTTTTTGTTATGTAATATATTGGTAATTTAAATTAAAAGTAATTAAAAAAGTATTTATGTGTGGAAGTAA